TTCTCCTGCCTCAGCCTCCCAAGTAGCTGGGATTACAGGCACGCACCACCACACCTGGCTAATTTTTGTATTTTTAGTAGAGATAGGGTTTTGCTGTGATGGTCAGTCTGGTCTCAAACTTCAGACCTCAAGTGATCCACCTGCCTCAGACTCCCAAAGTACTGGGATTACACGTGTAAGCCACCGCACCCAGCTTCATCTCTATTTTTACAGAGGAGGAAACTGAGGCACAGAAAAGTTGAGCAATTTGCCCAATGACATAACTAGAGCTAGCATTTGAGCCCAAACCATCTGGTGCCCGAGTCTATAGTTTTAGCCACTAAGCTACACTGCCACAGCAACAAACCATTTTCTTGTGGCGTTCTTTTCTGGTGTGGTTTTCTTTCTTGGGTCTTTTAAAACAGACATTTCCTTCCTTTCTCCCTTCTTTTTTTTCCTTTCTTTTTTCCTTTTCCTTCCTACCCTCCTTTTTTTTTTTATTTTAACATAGAACACATAAAAATGTTTTTAATTCCTGCTACCAAACTCCTGCAAGATATTAGGATTTAATTACTATTTATAGCTCCCTTGCCAACTTTCACTGTCTGTGATTGTGGCTGTCATAATCACAATCATAGAGATACAGCTTATTTGGTTAGGGAGAAAATGTCCTGAACATTTTTTAAAAGAGATGATTGCAATTTAAGCTGTGCTCAAGGTACAGAAGAAAATTGGTTTAAGTGTTAAGGCTGACATTTCTGTTATTTCCACACTGTTCCTGGTTAAACTCAGTGCCTGGAGGACAAAGATAGACGCTTTGTTTCAAATGAGAAATTGGATTCAAATTTCTAAAATGAAAAGTTTCCAAATGGTATAAACTTTAAATGAAAACATGTAAGATCTGACAGTTTGATTTAAGCTCTGAGCAGGGCCAAGGAATAACTAATGCTCACCTCTTCCTGCAAGTACCATAAATTTATGTGTTGAGCCAGGCACTGAGGCTCACGTCTATAATCCCAGCACTTTGGGAGGCTGAGGCAGGCAGATCACTTGAGGCTAGGAGTTCAAAATCAGCCTGGCCAACATGGTGAAACCCCATCTCTACTAAAAACACAGAAATTAGCAGAGTATCGTGGTGTGCACCTGTAACCCCAGCTACTTGGGAGGCTAAGGCAGGAGAATTAACTTGAACCCAGGAGGCAGAGGTTGCAGTGAGCTGAGATCAGGCCACACTGCACTCCAGCCTGGGTGACAGAGCAAGACCCTGTCTCAATAAAACAAAACAAAACAACCCCCCCCCAAAAAACCATTATGTGTTGATTGGCTTCTTAAGCTTCTCTACCAGATCCTGATTGCATTATGAGGTTTAGGCCCAGATGGGTACTTCATAAGTGCTTTTTAACAATGAATAGAATGCTTATTTAGTTTTCTAGACTTGTCCCACATATACCAAGGATAAAAATGTCTAACATCTTTTTCTTCTTCTTTTTTTTTGAGTCCAGGTTTCTCTCTTGCTGCCCAGGCTGGAGTGCAATGGCGCGATCTCGGCTCACTGCAACCTCTGACTCCCTGGTTCAAGCGATTTGCCTGTCTCAGCCTCCCGAGTAGCTGGGATTACCGGTGCATGCCACCACACCCGGATAATTTTTGTAGTTTTAGTAGAGTCGAGGTTTCATCATACTAGCCAGGCTGGTCTTGAACTGCTCACCTCAGGTGATCTGCCCGCCTTGGCCTTGGCCTCTTAAAATGCTGGGATTACAGGTATGAGCCACTGTGCCCAGCCAAAATGTCTTACATCTAGATTACCACTTATTTATTTATTATTGAAACCCTTAATGAGTAGCACGCATGGGTTCTGACATCTGTAGTGGGATGCATCTGTGGCATCTAATAAAAAATCTGACTCAAACTGTCTGAAATGCAAGGAAAAGGCAGAATTTGTTTAATTAAACAACTCAGTGATGTCATCAAGAACCCAATTAAAAAATTTTTTTTTCCTATTTTTTGATTCTGCCTTATTTAGTGTGTAGGCTTTGACCTAAGGCTGGTTTTCCTCTTAGTCATGAAATGGCTGCCAGTGGGAACGAGGGTACTTGTTTCCTTGTTCATCCAGCAGGGTAGACAGGGAAAAACCTCTCTTTCAAACCATCGGATGTTAATTACACTTTCCTTCAGTGTAATTGGGCCACACATTGATTGACTGAGACTCTGGGTAGTGTGGAGGGAGTGGATGCCTCAACGGAGTTGGCGTTCTATTAGAAGGGCAACAAAGCAAATCGATGCTGTGGAGGGTCTGACGCTGTTTCTTCATCTGGAAAATGGTGAGAATTTCATAGAGAATTGAGAGGATTAGAGATAATGTATGTAGAGTGCCAGATTTAGCAAATAAAAATCAAAGATGCTTAGTTAAAATTGAATTTGAGATAAACAGCAAATAATGCTTTAGTCTAAGTATGCTCAGCTCTTTCTACAAACACTACAAACTTATACATTAATTTGGTTCTTAAGCTTTACTCCCAGATCCTGATTGCATTACAAGGTCTAGGCCTAGAAGGGCATTTCGTAAATGTTTTTTTGGCAATGGTTAGAAGGCTATTTAGTCTTCTAGCCTTGTCTCACATGTATCCAGGATAAAAATATATACTTATACTAAAAATTATTTGTTGTTTATCTGAAATTCAAATTTAATGGGGCATCTTGTATTTTATCTGGCAACCCTAAATCTATGTGAAGTTCTTGGCACATAGCAGGTATTCATTCACTGGTTAGCATTAGTGTTCTTTCTACATAAGAGTTCAGTTAAATGGCAGCACGGTACTTTTTTTTTTTTTTTTGAGACAGAGTCTTACTCTGTCGCCCAGTCTGGCATGCAGTGGTAGGATCTCAGTTCACAGCAATCTCGGCCTCCTGGATTCAAGCAATTCTCCTGCCTCAGCCTTCTGAGTAGCTAAGATTACAGGGGTCTGTCACCATGCCTGGCTAATTTTTGTATTTTTAGTAGAGACGGGATTTCACTATATTGGCCAGACTGGTCTCTTGACCAGGCTGGCCTCGAACTCCAGACTTCGTGATCCGCCAGGCTTGGCCTCCCAAAGTGCTGGTGTGAGCCACCACACCTGGGGCATGGTACTTTTTAAACTCTTACTAACCTTCTAGAAAGGTTAGTTATTGACCAAAAGAGGAATTAGCTAAATTGCACGTGACATTAAGAAATCCTTTACCACTACTCAAAACCAGATCAAAGCAAGTCTCCCTAAACAGAAGGTCATATTTGTATATATGGGATGGGACATTATAAGGCATCTAATATTACTACTTAATACTAAATTGGACCTATATTAACAAATGTTCAGTTATTGGTTTTTCTACATCTTCTGAATCTATATGGATAATTAATTTGTTACTTCCAGTTCACCAGTTCTAAAGAAAAATTTTAAAAAATGATTCATTTGAGTCAAATGTAATGCTGCTGAAATTCCTAGCACAAAGGCTCTACCTTACAGGGATGAACATGGAGTGATTGCCCCAGGAGTTCTGGATCCACGTGGGTGAAGCTTGAGGTCACAGCACTGTTACTTTGCATCTGGGGGAGGCAGGAGACCCTGCAAAGCCCTCTGTTGTTGCTTCTGACTCCATTTTCCCTCTCTGCTAATTCATTGCTCCTATCTGTAAAATTTTCTAATATGCTTCCACTTTCATTTCCTCATCAAATATTCACCGTTATGAAAAAGAAAACCCTATTGGCTTGGTATCAAGTGGCCAAACCCAGCATATGGATACATATTGTTACCAGATTCACTACAGGAATAGATGAAGTGAATTTTATGCAAAATATCTATTTTCTATTACAGTACTGCATCTTTCTAATTTGGTGGCTGGTATGACCTCATACACTGCCTATTTTCCGTCCTTTTCCTAACAACCAGAAGAGACCCTATCTTTCTGCTTTGCTTGTTAAAGTGAAAATTATTATGCAGTTTTCCATAGACTTGTCCCCAATGCTTTTTTAAAAATTATTTTTCTTTATTTTCTAAAAGTAGCATTGGAAATGTTATCTCCTTCCATTTCATCACCTCTTCATCCTCCTTGGAAACCCGACCCATAGTCAGTATTAAGATATTTACATTTCTACTGGTTGGGCGATGACTTCATTGCTTTCATGCCAGCTGGAGGATCTTGTGTAGCAGAGCATCGGACCGAAGCGGAGCTATGGGTCGTTGCTGCTGCTGCTGCTACTGCTGCAACAGCTCTTTGCACGCGCCCAGCTGCTGTGTAAGGAATCCTCAGGCGGCTAACTCAGCCAAGGGATCCCAAGCTGCTGGATGAGTGTACGTGTGTGTTATGTGTGTGCATATGTGCGTGTGTGTGTGTGTGCATATGCAGCGGCAACAGTTGGGCAGCAGCAGCAATCGACTTCGATATCATTTTTACCAACAACAGAGATAAACCATCCTCCTTCCTTTATTTCTCAGCTCCCGCCCCGACTGTGCTCTTTCCCTCTTCCTCGACTTCCCCCATCCCAGCCCTCCGCACGGGTCCCTAAGGAGGGAGGGCAGGATAGCTGTGCTGCAGGCAGGATTCCCCTTTTTTCCGCAGTGACAGGCGGATTCCGGGGCCTCCTCGCCACCCCCTACCCCCGCAGCCACCCCTCAGTCACGATCTCCCCACCCCACCACCGTCGACCCTCTCCCTTCTCTTCCCCGCGCTTCCCCGGGCGATGTTCCAGGCTCAGGCCCCGCCCCTCTCAGCCTCCTCAGCCCAGGTTGCTAGGGCTTGGCGGGGCAACCAAACCTGGCGTGCCAGGAGGCGCGGCGCACGCGTGAGCGCGCAGGCTAGCTTGTATGAGGAACCAACGTTCTTCGGCTTCGGAGACTCGAGTACGAGCGGCGCGAGCACGGACTCTCGGACAAGCGCTCCCTTCTCATTGGCTCCTACCAGAAGGGGGAGGGGGGTTCAAGGCGGGATCGGGCGGAACCTGAGGCGCTTTCCCATTGGTCCGAACGGACCGGCCGGGGCGGGGCAGTTAGCAAATTAGGCTGCGCGTTCGCTTCTGCTAGAGGGCGGGGCAGGAGGTTTCGGTTAGTTGTCTGCTGTTGGGGAAGGTAAAGCGGAGACGGCGTCCTCAGGAGCCGTGGGGTCCCCTGCTAGAAGTGGGGGACTCGGCAGGGTGAGTAGTCGCGCCGACACCCGCCCGCCAAGCCTTTTTACCCTCACATCGGCCCCGCGTCCACCCAGCTTCTCCCGAGAGTGGGGACCCACCCGGTCCCCCGGGCGGACGAGAGAAGGGGCGGCGGCGCCGGTCCCCCCGGAACGGGGCGACGCGGTGAGGGCGTCCCAGCCCGGAGTAGCCCCTCCTCAGCGCTCTCTCGCGCTTCTGGAAGAGCTTCCCCCGAGGGGCTGGGGCTGGATTTTGGGGTGTGGGGAGGCGAGAGGGTTTGAAAGAGGGGCGGCGGGTCGAGGCCGCCCCGCGGTGCTCCCCTCAGCGGCGGGTCTGCGGCGTCCCCGCCCTGCCGCTTCCGCGGCAAGAGCTCCCCGGGGCTTGCGGCGAGGGAAGCCCCTTCCCGCTGGTGCCGAGGAGGTGCCTGCGCGCCAGAATCCCCTGCCCTAGTTCGGAGGGAGCCCGAGACTCGCTAGGGGCCGCCACCCGCGGCCCCGGCCCTTCTGACCTTGGCTGCTCGCAAGGGTGGGCGAGTGACCCGCCGCCGGCCCCGCGGCTCCGCAACCTCCCCGGAACAAGTTTCAGGCGATGCTGTGAAGTTCGCGACTGGCATAGTAGGGGGAAGCAGAATGGCCCTTTCTCAGACCTTCATACCCTTTGGACCCTCATAGAAATCGGATTCTGAGGTTTGGAACCGTCTCCCAGAACGAACAGGTCCTCCTGGCATTGACACATTTTGTGCCCACGTTGGGGGAAAAAATAACCTGAACATATTTCAGTGTAAAGGCAGATTTTCCTTGAGGGTTTTGTTTTTCGCTTCACTTCAGTGTTAAAGCACAGATGCCTGAATAAGAAAAGCCTGACCTTAGTATCTCTACAGTGAGATTAGACCAGTGCTGTGATATTTAAGTAGTTGCAGATCGGTATTGTGTTAGCACAATATATTTTAATTGACTGGAATTTAAGCTGATTTTAGAAAGTATTGTTGACACCGAATGATTTCTTTCTGTGCATCTGAATTCGGTTTGTTTGAACGTAATGGTTGTATAGTTAATGTCAAAGATTGCAGTTTGTCCGAGAGCATTTGTCTGAAACAGGAGACAGATGTGTATAGAACAGGATTATCGTTTTAGGTAACATCTGCTGGAACATTTCCAGCTTGTTTCTTTCTTACTGTAGCGTTACTGAAAAGACGTCTTCACCGAGGCTATTCGGAATTACATGTGAATGACACTTAGATGTAAATTTGTTTTTATTTCCTTTAAGTGTTTTAAAATGTTTTGGTCACAAAATGTGAAGAGGCGACATTTACTTGTTATTGTATCTTTAGTGTTGAAGGGGATAGTATGATCTTATGTTTAACAATCCAATTAGGGTCCATTAATAGTAGTTTTTTTTTTTTTTTTTTAAGGCGTGCTGCTTTTCGAGAATATGATAGGTTGAGTACCTAGCAAGGCTTCTAATTTCTTTATTGAAAGTACTGTTTTAGGATTGAGAATTTTTGGCGTTGACACTGAAACCAGGAATAAGGAAGGCTGCAGCAGTCTTAGCAGTTTGACACCACCAGCAGGTATTTCTGTTGACAAATGCAGAGAAGAGAACATTTGGGAAGGAAATCTTTTTTTCGGGGCGGGGGTAGGGTGGTGGGGTGGGTGGGGTGGGTGGGGAGGTGAGGGTGGGTGAGGGGGGAAGGAGCCAGAATAGAGAAGCTGTAGAACTAATGCTGCCAGCACTGAATGCTGAGCATTTCACAAGTGCAAGGAAACCTACTTAAGGAAAAATTCCGTTTGGCTGTATTAAATAATAGAACTCCAAAAGAGGCATACTAAAAGTTAACCATTCCAAGAGTGTTAATTAATCTGCCATTTCAGAGTAGTTGGGGGTTCCTCAATTGGAGAGGGTATCAAATCTCTTTGAATTGCCTTGCCTTTTTAACATAGTCAATGCAGTGATTAATTTGCTATATGTATATATATCAAATAGTTGAGTATTCCAGTTTTCTTGTTTAGCATATTTCCTAAGCCTACATTTTTTTAAACAAAATCTGATATATATAAATCTGAAATAGAATTCTTTGTCTAGAGAGTAATCTTTTTTTTTTCTGGCTTAGTCTTAAAATTTATTCCTGATTTAGGGGCTTGTGGTTGGCTTCTTTTTTACTCCTTTTTCTCAGGTTTTTGATTTTTACTTATGCAAGTTCCCTAAGTGTGCCTTTGTTTATATTGTAATTTTCTTGGAATTATTTAAATCAGTGTGGCATCTATTGTGTCCCACGGGGTTTTAAAAGGGAAGTCTCCCATTGAAACAAATTGCAGGGCCATCTCACATAGATGGGTAATAGAAGGTTGACTGCGAATCAGATGTATTCGGTTGCACATATGCTGCTTGGGGTTAAGGCAGTTTCAGTTAACGGAAACCAGATTTTACGTGGTGTTTCTACTTTGAAAGTACAGTATTGTTGCATTATAAACTGAAAGACAGAGGTGGAGAAATTCCTTTAAGTATCACCCCTAGCCTGTTTCACCAATGTGTCCAGAAATCTACGACTCTTAACAATAGCTGCATTGTTGGAAATGACAGTGGCTTCTCTTGCAGAAAGTCAACCTTTCATTAGGATTTTCATTTCCATTTACTTTGTAAAAGAAAATTTAGCTTTATCTGAGAAATTGGCTGTAAGAAATTTGTAAAGAGAGCAAGGAAAATAGGTTTTCTTCAACATGTCTGTTAAAATTTCCCATTCTCTCCCCTTCCGTTTTGATAACTGCTGGTGATCTTCATTTCCTCTACATATTAGAAGGTATGCTAACACAGTACCTGGTTTTTGGCAGTTAGTGTGGGGATATGACTTTTTCTTGTAATAAATTGATGTCAAATAATATGAGGCATTTAGGAATAAATTAATTCACATGCATAGATCTAAGACGTGAGGGAAATCTTTTAGATAACCCTTAACTTTGGTATAAGAATAGCACAATTTGAAGTATTGTTGCTTTCTAAGTAGAAAAAGCTATTTACTTAGAATTGGATAATTTTAGATTTTAAAGTTTTTTTTTTGACAACATCAATTTTCTTGGTAAAGGGGAAGATAGAATCTCACAGATTCTTTATCGTCTGATGATGGCATCAGTTGGACTACATTTCAACTTAAGACAATAATGCAATTAAAAGACTGCATTTAAACTTTCTGTTTGGAGGTTTCTCTAATTTGCTTTCAATCTCAAGCACAACATTAGAAATCTTTTGTTGCTGATGCACAATTTTAGTGTTCAGATTTTAGGTTTTGATCGTTTTTAGAATTTTTTTTTATGTGTATAGAGCAGTACATGGATGACTGAATTAATCAAAGATCTGGCCTCATTTCTCATTCAGGTTTGTACATTTCTTCATACTGAGATACAAGCTTGGGTGAAATTCTGTCAGTGGGTGTCAAAGCTGAGGTTAAGGACCTTCTACCTAAAGAGACTGATAACATTTAAACATTTCAGATTTGGGAATTAACAAAGTTATTTATTAGTTTAAAAGGACCTACCCCATTCAGGTATTTGAAATTGATTGTCAGTGCTTTGAATTAAGCTCTTAGAAACATTTGTGTTTGAAATAATTCTAATCAGGGTCAGGTTTTGGGTGTGGTCTCTCTTTTGGGCAGTCTTCTCTGTAATAATTATAATATTCCATTTATTGAGCCTTACTGAATGCCAGACACTGTGACAGGTAATTTATTTGCATAAATGCATGTGTGTTCTCACAACATCTCTATAGAAGCAGGTCTTCTTACCTCGTGTATACATGTCAGATGGGCTCAGAGAGGTTAAGTACTTTGCCCAGATTACCCAGCTAGTCATCAGAAGTAGCAAAATTGCCATCCAAACTGGTCTGACTTGAAGCTGTGCTCTTCAAAACCGTGCTTTCTGCTTCTCTTTAGGATACTGATTTCCCAAGCATATTTATTTTTGACACAGGGTCTCACTCTGTCCCAGGCTGGAATACAGTGGTGTGATCACAGCTTGCTCCACCCTCAACCTAGCAGACTCAATCAATCCTCCCACCTCAGCCTCCCTAGTAGCTGGGGACTACAGGCACGTGCTCCCATACCAGGCCAATTTTTCTTTTAATGGAGGTGGGGTCTCATGATGTTGCTCAGGCTGGTCTTGAACTCCTGGGGTCAAGCGGTCATCCTGCCTTGGCCTCTCAAAGTGCTAGGATTACAGGCAAGAGCCACCACCAGGCCCACCCCAAGGGTATTTTGATTTCCTACTGTATATCATGCCTGGGGTGGTACTGAAGGTATACATATGCTTCTTGGAGTTCACAGGCTACATTGGAAAGGCTGCTGGACATTTAATCACACAGGGGGCTTAACTCGGATCGATCAGGACTACTGGAGAGGAGAGTTGGAAGTTCAGACTTTTCTAACAGAGGGTCAGACTTTTCTATCAGAGGTTCTGTTTCTTCATAAATGAAGGTTGTACATAATCATTTATGCTCAAAATGAGGTTGCTGTTTCTAATTAGCTACTTGATATTTCATGTTTCTGCATGTTGCATTATAACTTTTGATGGACTTTGATTAAATTTGCTACACTAACAAAGGCTATGAAGGTACTCCTTGAATTCAATTTGGTGGCTTAGATATACCCTTGAAGTAAAATGGCAGCCATTATAATTTGCAGATGGGCACCTCTGATGTAATTAAGACCAGTGAAGTAAAATCTGTAGGTAAAGTCTACAGAGATATGTTATTGTTGTGTGGTGGTTTTTTTTTGAGATGGAGTCTCGCTGTGTTGCCCAGGCCGGAGTGCTATGGTGCAGTCTTGGCTCACTGCAATCTCTGCCTCCAGGGTTCAAGCTATTCTCCTGCCTCAGCCTCTCAAGTAGCTGGGATTACAAGCACATGCTGCCATGCCCAGCTAATTTTTTTTGTATTTTAGTAGAGGTGGGGTTTCACTGTGTTGCCTGGGCTAGTCTTGAACTCCTGAGCCCAAGCAGTCTACCCGCCTTGGCCTCCTAAAG